AAATGTGTACAAAATAATCAAATTAAAAAGCAGATTTATTTTATAGTGCAACAGTCGTTAGCAGTTTTGGATAAAATCAAATATATTTTCGGAAAATAAACAAGCTCTTCCCTAGCACTTTTTTAACCAAGTCCATTATCTGAAAGTACTTTGTTTCAGTTTATACACATTACGGGGAATTCACCAAGAATATTAAAAATGTCTAAATTAAATATCATACAATAATGGTGATGTCCAGATATAATTGAATTTTATTAATAGTTTTAAAGACATTTTTACAGGTATACGTCGTTTACATTAAAAGCTCTTATCTTCAATATTTTGCATCAATATTGTGCAAGTAAATAAAGCACGTGTCAAATGTCTGTACTTTGCCCTAATTTTACTTTTTTACTCCTAAGTAGTTATTGATTATTGAAAATACTATGGGGACAACTTTCTTAATATCGTATTTTGTTTTGGATGCTTCCAAAATTTCTAGATATACAGAAAAACTATGATGGTACTACAATCAGATAAACTGAATATTACCTGTATAGTGCTGATTTGTGAATGAATACTTCCTTGATTGTAGTATTATTACTAGTAACTACAGTCTTATCCTAAGTTTGGGTTCTAAGAAATCGTCATCTGTACCATTCAAGACATTTATCATTAATATTTACTGAGTAATTTTCTTTAAAATCGCACATATCTATCTCTTATAAGCAAATTATATGTCATAATATCAACCGATATTTTGTTTTGCATTTCATATAATCATAAGAACTAAATAGGACAGTATAAATTACTACACGGTATAGGAAGTGGATGAGCAACATTTAAAAAAAAGTAAGTAAATCAGTAATATATTTTATTGAAACCAGTGAGAGAAGTATGCACGACAGTTTATAAAACTTGATGATATTGTTCTACATATACAATACTTTTATTCTATAATTTTCGTCTCATTAGTTTTGTTCATCAAATTATTAAAACAAATATATTCAGTGTTACACTGTTGCAACAGAGAAGTTCATTGGATTGTAGATTGTTTATCATCTTTCAATGAACAAATATTTTGTTCACGTTTATTAATTTTAACAATCCTTACCGAAACTATCGGATGGATATATGACACATCTTCTGCTCTTGTCTGTTTTATTCTAAATGTAGATATAAATGCACGTCGAAATCTAGCAGACATCAAGCTATACAGGATCGGATTTACTGTTGCGCTCATATAATAAAGAAATCCTAAAAAGGTAAGAAAAATGTGATTGATTTACTAATACCTAAGTATGATTATTAATAAAAACGGAAATCGAAATATTTTACTGTATAAGTTGATATTAGACTCATAAATAACTCCACTGATTTTCGATTCAAATAACTTGCTTTCAAATTGTAAAATTATTTGTTCGCTTATAAAGTAAAGCTTTTATCTAAATTCTTTGGACTTAAAATGTCTAAATTTTAGTTATCACGAACTTGACTTTTCTGGATGCGAAGTATGTTAATAAACAATTATTGATACATTATGTCAACCAGAAGCCAGTCAAATAATAAGTCCATGTGGTCGGCCAGGAAACCACTTGCATTTCTAAAGAAAATGTAGCGTTAAGTTTTATAAGAAACGAATATATATATTTCACCAATGTATCATTACACTCAAAGAGAACAAATGTTGGATCTCTGAATCTAATACATTTGGTCACCACCAAGTACTTCGTTGTCTCCAGTCATTCACTAAATAATATACATTCATCAGTTTATGCTTATTTAAGGTTTAATTTATAGCCGTTGTTGAATATCAGACAGAAGTCTAAAGCTAATCACATATAATAAATAATAAATGTTTACATAAGATGAAAAAGATTTATGATCTAATTATGCAAATAAATGTTTTTCTTACCGGACACATAGAAGAGGAAATCAATCAAAAACCACGTCATTTGGACATTTGCAGAAGTAAGAACACGTTGTAGATGAAATGGGGCCCAACAAATGAAAAAAGCTACCACTACAGCCACTGAAAACAAAAATGTTTGTGGAAGCTTGAGAAATTTCCATGATCATTATTCTTGCTAAACTAGTAAAAAGATTCTCATTTTAATGTAAGGGATACCTCAAGGTTCATTAGCAAATATTATACTGTTATGACCTTTAATAATTTATAAGTCCAGTTGATTGTATCGTGAGATAATAGAGTTCACTAACTTTAAGTTTGCTAATACCTGTTTGACCGGTGACCTTTAATTTAACCAATAAATAATTGCCCGTCACAAATGACAAAAAATCTTTATTTCTACGTGTTCACTCCAATTCCTTCCAACTCCAATAGCCAATCAAAGAACAAAGACAGTAAGTTGATATTCCTTTTCCTGCATAAACCCGAAAAAACACAACATTGTGCATACTAATTACCCGACTATAAGGCACTACAAATCGTAATTTTACATAACTCTGCTAAGTGCACCAAAAGCTAAGCAATAAGCACATAATTAATTAACGATCATTTATAAATGTATGAGGGATCTGTGGTGATTGTAGTATTTTCACAGTTGAAATCATGAGTTGATCTGAGCTAGACCACTATTGAAAACTTGGAAGAACTGAGCGATCATTTTATCCTATTATGGGGCTCCCCAGAAGTACCCACCAACAGAGGTCTTGGGTTCGAGCCTGTCATGAGGGACCGTGGATGCACACTGCTGAGAAGTTCCATACTAGGACGAAACGGCCATCCTGTGCTTCTAGATTTTCAGTTGTAGTCTAGCTTAGATAAACTCGCGATTTCAACTATGAAAATTTATGAACGGTCAAACTGATATCAAAAGTAAATGAGTTATATGAAAGCTTATATTTAGGACAATACGAAAATAACATCAATAAAATATTTGTGAATGACACAATAAAACTGTTAATAACTTTTCGCCACTAAATAATAACCATACTACCTTCATCTACCCTAAAAGGCCCATTCATATCTGAAAAAATATATAATATAAGTACCACTCACTTTATCAAGTTTGCTATACGGTTAGTAATCTGTGTAATAAGAATCCGACAAATTTAATTTCTGTCAAATGTATGCGTAACAGAGGTATAAAAATTGAAAACATTCAACATTTTTGTAGCCGAACATCTGACGATTTTGAGATGATGAACATTTATGTTTAAGGTTGAGGTTGTTAGTTCTGTGTTGTCTGAATTTAGAGAACACCTCCAGCAACACCTCCAACACCAAACAGTTTACTATAAATATGATGCTACTAATTAATTTTGTGCTGGTTTTTGATGACATAACCATATACACCAAATCACTAATATATTAAAACTAAGCCAAGCATGACTGAGACTTTCCAACTTAATTCATAAAAATAACTCGGTATCGGTACAGCGTTTTTTAGCTTGATTATTGTATGAGATTGGTGATTGAGTTCTGTTGATCACTTCGAAATGTGGCCACTAATGTAATTGATTTGGAATGCACTATGTTGATATATTAGGTGGTTGAAGGTAGCCGACAGGAAACAGTTGACCTAGGTCATAAGCGTTTTGACGATCATTAGCAAGACATACCTATAATATTGAGGTAACTGGTGCTCCCTGGAGGATTCAATCCCGCGTTATCCAACTTGATGTTTCAAAACACTATAGTTGTGCTTTTCAGATCGCGGTTGACTTTCCTTTCACATATACGTCTTAGTGATAAGTATCAAATAGCATGGAACCTAGGTTCAGGGTTTCTAGTCAACCACCTCCAACCACATAAGATCTCAATACAGTGGATATATTGCAATTTGTTCGGTAGAATCAAATCAGCATTAAGAAGGACTTGACATTTATGAAAATGGTCACAGTGATCAGTCAATTGTTAGCCAGAAGTCTATGAACTATCCAATCAAACTGTCAGTTATGAGCCTTAGAAGCCGAATAAATTTAATAGCGTTTAAAACAACATTAAAGACGGAAAAAGAATCTAAGTGTAGGTATGGAAATTATCTAAACCATATGCAGTAGACCAGTATGTTCCTATGTTTAGGTATAAATGTCTACTAGTGGCCATCATGAAGTTCAAATTAACTCCTCGATCATACTGGCTACTATGTTCAGAACTCTAGATACATACACAATAAATTATTTCAGGAAATATCTTTCAGAAGGTGATATTTCTGATTTCAGAGATCTCCCTCACCTACAAAACATTATGTTACATTTACATATGATGTAATCATAAGTCACAAGTAAATTTATCGTTGCTTTATCTTAGCATGACCAGCATCCCTATTCATCTACAGCAAGATTGATTAACATTTACACGATCTAACATATACAGACTAGAAAGTCAGATGTATGAATATCGTGGATATCCGTGCATCATGAATTTTGATAAACAATAAATCTATGTTAACGAGTGTTTGTGAAGACCAAGAATAATAAAATAACCGTTCATTGAAGTTTCACTGGATAGTTCAATTTGTTCTCTCAAACTCATTTCCTACAAACAATTTTTAATTGGCCAATAATCTTAGGTTTACCCATTGCTTAATATTTACAATTTTTTAAACGGAATGTAAGTGATATATCAGGTGAGTACTTCAAAGATAAGCGAAAAACTATAAATATTCCAGGGAATGTAATAAATATTTAATTTTATGCAAATGTATGCCTTTGTGATAACCTTACCGTTTTCTTATAGTGTCTTCGTATCTAATGTTTTATTGGCTCATTTTACTTTGTTTTCCTCATTTGTTTGACTGAATTTTAAGGATTGGACATTTAGATCTCCTAAGTGCCTTTTTTAGCTACTTCATGGATTCTCTGAGAACTAACTGTGATGCATAAATTTTAGTTTCAGCAACTTATAGATTAATCAACTGAACAAACCTTTTGTGCTTTCTTCAAAAATATTTCGTAGTATAATAGTTATCAACAAAATCTATAATTCTAGAGAAGTTGTCTTATTACTTCGTAGTCTAAAATGATACTACATATGTAATTTCTCAACGACTTACCTAACATTCTAACAATACCTCTTCGACAGTTTCCTGATGAACGAGTTTTGGATATGCTGCATGAAGATGATTTACCCTTTCCGTGTTTGGACTTACTCTGTGCACGAAGACCGAGATTTGAATGGCTTAATTGTATCGCCATTAATCCATACAAAACAGACATAATAACCATTGGAGTAAAAAAGAATAAAAATGTCCATAATTGTAAAACGACTGGAATACTGAGATATGCAGCCCATTTTGAATCCTGATATGTGAAATATGATAAAATTTAATTAACAATTTAAAACGGAGATATTTTGGCACAATGGTTATAAAGAGTAATAGTAAGTGCAATAGAAGTTTTAAATAGTTACCCGGTGGAACTAATAAATAAGTAACAGAATTACAAATTAAAAAAGGCTTATGAAAAATCGGTGTGATCTATTTTTTCATTATTAGTAGAGATATCTGTTCAGAGACGTAGATAAAAATTCCCCATGAAACACTCCAGCTATCTTCAAGTGGCGATGCTTAAAAAAACTACATAGCGTTAGATATATAAAGTCTGAAGACAGAGCTCTGTCTACCTTTATATTTTGGTTATTTCTTTTCAGCTTGTTTATTTTTTGTCCTTTTCGTCTTTAAATTAAAAGTAATCTTATCTTCTCTAGTCAAACTAATTCTAGCAACTAAAATTCTCGAATTTCATTCATTCTCTAGCCAGTATTATCTTACAACCATCAGTCATATCCTACTCTCACTACTTACAATAACCCTTATTTACCTGCTTAATTTTTCACTCCTCATTTGTTCATATGATCTTCAGTGACACATAGTACTTTTGCTTTCAAGTTAGCGTAACGATTGATTTTATACGTTTTATCCACTCGTATGAAATACAGTGTGCCAATGCCAATGATAAACGTACTTACTAACAAATAAACCTATCATCATATTAGTTATTTCATACAATACGACTGTACATATTTTAAAAATAAAATCGTCAGAAAGAAATCTTGATTTGGTGAAACACTTTTTTAATATAAAATAGTTTGAAATGTTCGATCAGATGATAGCAGTGAATAAATTCATCATGAATTTATATCAAGAAAAAGTGACTATTTTAAATCAGTTTTGATGCTAAGAATGTCATTCACAATTTGTAAGCAATTTATATCTTGTAAAGATTACAACAGTTTGCATCGACTGATGTGTAAATACTGAATCTCGATTTGTATGTTTTTATGGCAAGTGAGGCTTTTGCTGAAACTGTGTTCTATTGCTAAAAAATCAGTTCGTAAAAGCATTTTTAACATCATTGGACACCGGCTCAGTAGTTTAGAGATGAAACGTTTGCGCGAAACTGAAAGTAGTGAATTCAACTTCTGCGTGCGGGATCGTGGATGCTCACTGTTAAGGAGTCCCATAATATGACGAAATGGCCGTCCAGTGTTTACAGGTTTGCACTAGTAGTCTAACATTGACTGGTTCATGATTCCAAGGAAATTCAACAATCTCAAAAATCTTTTACGGACATTTTTATTGACTGAAAGTTATTGCGTTTGATAAAGTATGTTCAAGATATCTCTTGAATCATCACTAAAATGATCATAATCGAAAATCTCAAATTATCTTATCTCCATTTCGTCAACAGTAAAGCAATTTTGGATCCTGTACTTTCCTTTTATAGTACACTTCAAGGACTGGGTTTAATAAAAACAATCAGTTTATTATGTTAAATACAAGTCAAACGAACACAAATATTCTATGAAAAACATTTGCATGTTTATGGTATACAAAGATCATGTGACATGACTAGTTAGATAGACACAATGGTTTCATGTCAGATAACCGAATTAGACGGTAATATTTCCTAGCACACTCCAGTGGGATGTCAGTATCTCTAATATTAAAAAGTGGCTTTGCTAAGTTTTTGAAGTTGCTGGTTCAACATAATGTATGGATTTTAAACGTTTTTGATGAGTATTTGTTGTGACTGAACTTGACGTTAACTGCCAGATCACACTCAAGACCTTGAAAAATCAAATCTATCAATCTCAATGTCTAATGATTTGTCTTTATTTTCTGTCATCAAATATAATTTGACAATTTATAATAAATATATTTTTGTTACGTCCCAATGAATAGAAAAATTGTATTTCTGACTTTTCGTGACTTAATGTAAGCTACTTCTTCAGAGTTTTTTCGGATAGAAATTAAAGTAAGGCCGATCAAGTTTCTGCCTATACTGAATTTATGGAGATATAAATATTTTTGACACATCTTGTTCAAATGTTCGACCTCTTATTACTGACCAAAAATTGTATATTGATTATTTTAGTGTTGTATATAGTAACGGTTTCCATTTTCTTGAGACTATTCACAACAGTATCCAGTTCCCGGTCATTTTACATTTTCTTTAGTGAGTACATTTACCTTATAATCATTTGTCGTGTTTCAATATTGTTTCATAATTATATAATGTGCAGTAAAAAATTGCATTGTACTGAGAGATTAACACAATCTAAAACAAAGTTTGATAATTTTGTAATCTAGCAGAGAAATCTTAGTTGATAACATAAATCTATGAATATCTGGTACGCACAAACTGCTGTTATATATTAGTCAGAAAAGGGTTTTGTGAATATTTTAGTAACTTAATAGTTGAATTCACGAGTAAATTGAAGCAAGACCACCATGGAAAACCTGAAAGCACTGGATGACCGTTTCGTCCTATTATGAGACTCCTCAGCAATGCGTATTCACAATCCCACCTCACAAGTTTCAAACCCAAAATCTATAGGTCTCGTGCGCGAACGCCTAAATTCTAGACCACTGAGTCGGCCAGCATTCGACGGTGTTAATGTATAATTTCAACCAATCCACGAAGTTGCGCCACCGTCCAGTGCTTTCAGGTCTTCCATGGTAGTCTAGCTTCATTTGACTCAAATTCAACTATGAAAAATATATTAATCTTATTTAAGGCTAACCATAATGAAATTATGGGGTTATTTTGAAAAAAAATTAACTTTTGCTTAATCAAAGTAACAGTAAATATAGTTTTAATTACCTCAAACAGAGAATTCCATATAAGACAGAAGTAACATTATCAAGTTCATTTTCATCCAACTATTTTATAAAATGGGTCAGAATTCATTACAATGATTTACAACACTTTAAATTTAGTGAAATAATTCGATTCTTATATCATCTCATTTACTGAATTATTTCTTCTTTTCTTTTTTCATTATTAATTAATATACAACCATTTGGTTAAAGCTTACTCTTGAACCATTCAACTTCATTTCTTTAATTAAGTAATGGAGACTAATAACTGATTAATTTAGTCCTCATCTTTTCTAATTATTTGACACCATTCAAAATTTTTTTGTTTTCTTAAAAACAATTATTTTGTCACAATCACAATTCATTTATTAAACGGCTTAATAAGGTTACTAACATTTTCATTTAAAATTTTTCCCAAAAAAATAAAGTTTCACCTTACAAGTTTATTAAATAATTTGATTGTCCTTGGAAACTTGTTTTAAAAAATTTAGTGAAAATTAATCCTTTAGGTATTAACCTAGAAGAGATATGTATCATTTAAAAGTAATGCACATATGTCTTTGTTCTATATAAATTACGATATAAATTCATGAATATTAAAGCAAAAGATATCAGGTTGATGTTTTATCAAGAGAAGTTTAATAAGCATTTTGAACACTTTGAAGGGTGTTGGTATAAATGAACTATGTTTGTTGAAAAGATTGAACTAAATTAAATACAAGCAAACTTATTTGTTCTTCTATAGATGTGATTGAAGTGGATTAAGCTAATGATCAAACGTTGTTCAAGTATGCTTTGTTTGTCTGCATTATTGGCTGAAATTTTCAGAAAATTTGCTGATATATAAATTTTTGTACTTTAAACTATATCAAAAACGTAGGAGTGAAATTGTTTAGGAAAAATCAGAATAAAAATAAAATACTTTTTACGCTTATCTTGTAAACAACACTCTTTACATTTTTCACTTAATCATTCACTTTTTAAAGTATCATTTCTGACAAGATTACAAATGCGTTTTGCTAATTAACTCAAACTAGCAGGAAAACCTGGTTTTAAAAATGTATGTTACCAGTCAACATCAAATAATGTACCACATGATGCAACCATTTGCATTGTTACTGAATTCCAACGTCATAGAAAAATTTTGATTGATTAATATGAACTATTCAACACAACATTAATCACTACTAACAAATCAACTCAGTGTATAAATAGATAGCTGTAGACGAAGAGATATAGTTCAAACAGAAACTACTGATTTTTCTAAACGTCTGGATTCAATAACTCATTCCTAGAAACTATCATAACCTAAATAAATGTTTTATGTGATACAGAGTCTGTAATAAATAAATCCTATTTTAAATAGTAATCATTCAGACATGTTTTCTATAACACTGTCTAATAAATATATTCTGAGATAATGTGACTGTTGATCTTTATTTTCTTGACGTATCATATTTTAGTTCAATCGGCAAATAGATTATGATGTTTTCACATAGTTATTACAATAGTGGCTATTCTGAAATGGTATTTTAATTAATAATTGACCCTGATGATGTTTGTATACCTAACTATCTTTGTGAAATTATTCCAGATATGACAGCATCTTTAGCTTTAAAGCGTGACATATGTTTAATAGTCTGATTAATTTTGACTCGCTACGAAAATAATTGAGAAAACTAAATTGTTTTTTCGCAAATATAAACCATTTTTATGTTAATGAAACTAATTATCCAGTTATCATTCATTCCAGTTCTAATTATGAGTTACCATGATAGCCTAGTTATTTTATCCATTCATGAAATGAAACTATGCTCTTCGACACGATTTTATATTTGCATTAAAAACCAAATCGACAGAAGCATTAATTTACATATGAAATATACACTTTTAAATTATTGTACATCAACTCCTAGATCACTAATTATAGTATTGGCTTCATTATTGTGTATGTTAAATAACAGAGTTAAGAAAAACTATTTTCCGGACAAAATTTATTTAAAACTCACATTAGACGGTGCACATACTGCTGAGTCGGGTAAAGCTTCACCTGGTGTCCACATCTCACTGTTTAATAAACAGTCAGGTGTCAAATAAAATTGAATCACTGTAGTGTGATAATGATCAGTGCACGTATTATTTATAAATGCATCAATGGTAGGTAAATTGACAGCATAAAATACTTTTGACAATCCAGCGATTACTATAGCACAACAACTGCCAATAATCCAGACACAGAAAATTAATAGAAAGCATGATTTAAGAGCATTGATTTGTACCATATACGGTGTATGGCCACGTTTATAATGTGGCTGACCATTTGAACAATGTATTTGTGTACTGTTTCTCATCTGTGAATTCATTACTTTTGATATTCTTTCACTACTGTGAGATGCTTTACTATTGACATTATGCATATATGAAGTACGATTACACGGATGTCCAGTATCATACTGTGAAAATCGTAAAATTCTTCTAAATGGATGACATATTGATAAATATCGTTCAACGCTGAATATTGTTAAGATCAGTATACTTACTAACGGACATAATTCAGTTAAAAAGATTCTGAACCGACAAAAGACTGTTCCCAATCTCCATGGATACGATTTATCCAAAACAGTTTGAAGTTCAAAAGGGAGACCTATAGAAAATTTAGAAAAAGTCAGGTGGTAAAATCCCAAAAAATTATATTTTTTATTCACTAATTTAATTTGATATAATATTAGGTGACTAATTGTTGAATATAATTAAAATGTTTTACAGTTTATCCAATATTTTGAAAACAATCAATAATTTATTTTTTATCTTATTAAAAATACGGAAATATGAAAATCGGGAATCGTCTTCAGTAAATTCTACAACTGTAAGTCAATATTCTTGTTCGAAAGGGATAGACAAATTTGAGATGAAATCTTTTAAATTACGGTCCTGACTTCCGATCAAGAACTGAAACCATTCAAATCAAATCTATTTGATTTTTCCTATCAGATAAAGACCAATATACACATAAATATATATTATAACGGAGGCATTTTCGAGTAAATGCACAAGGTAACAATCAAGAAAATTGTTAAAGACAAAATTTCATTATTACGAAACCGAATGAATGGTTAGGAGTTGTTCTTCTTGACAAACATAACCGCAATAATAAAATGAATAATATCTCAAACGACGAATTAAAATTCCAGGAACTAACTGACCGGAAATATTACAGTAAAGAAATAGAGAATGATCCAGTAACATTTTTAAAGAAGCTTAGAGATCAGTAGATGATGTTGGCATACATATACGAAACGATTAAGCCGATGGGAATTCATCTGTCAAGGTCATACGGACTAATGAAAATATAAAAACCAAGTGTTACAATGAAATCAATTTTCATACACATAGTTCCCTTTATTATCTTAAAGAGAGCAAGAACAAAAATTGGTGCCATCACAAGACATCTCCTTGATACAGGACATAAAGTTGATATACTGAAGTCCTTCAAGGTGATTAACAAACAATCAAACTCCAACCTTTTGAAATTTGCTGAAGCAATAGCAATCAGACGTTTAAAACCAGATCTATGTATACAAAAAGAGACAGTAATAAATCTTTCTTTACCCTGGTAACAATAACCGCCACCCTTTCTATTCATTTGCTCCTATTAATTTATTTATTGCGTCATTATTGCAACTCTTTCTGAAGTTTAAATTACATCATACATAACTGATTGATTTCAATTCATATTTTCTTTATTACCATTAATCTATTTTCATGAGTTCTAATCACTATTTCAATGTTCCAGAACTTTCCCTCTCAAACTTTATTTATTTATTCGAATCAAACATTTTATGAGCTCATTAACTCTATCTGAATCTTTGCTACATCATCATACACATGTATTGATCCTTAATCACACTCTTATATATAAATATGTCAATATCTGTATTAATGTTGAATTTTAAATAATTTAGGTTGTAAGCAGCTGATGAGAACCTAACGAAATAAAATGAATTCATATTATTCTGCACCAATCTTTGTTCTTGCTCTCCTTAAGAAATCAATTTTGGTCTATTCCAAAATCACTCCATAAGCAGCGTGTTAGGGATGTATTATAATTTCTAAATAAGGTCAAACATTCAAATACTTCAGAACAAACAATAATACTTTTATAAGTAACATCATTCACAAACCTGCTACTCTTAGAAATCGTCAAATATATATGTGTGAACAAATTATGGAAAGTAAAGTAGAAATTCCAATGACAGTTGACGTTATGAACTAATTGTTGCTAAAGTGCACTATAAATGTGAAATTCATGTTCCGTGGCCGTATTTATGGGCAAATGGATGGAGCCACGGTGGGTTCACCAACGGGTCCCATATTAGCACACATTTTTTAATCCTAACTAGAAAACTGGGTACTTATACAAATTAGTAATAACCTTAAATGATGCCAACATATGGATGGTACATACATCTTTTGCGAAGATTATCCTGGCTATTTAGAGATTCTCGAGATATTTAGAGAACTCTACCCTACTTTAAAGTTCACATGGAAGGCCAAAACGAGAGGTAGAAAATTTTTTCCAGATATTCTAATTACAAAGAAAATAGATATGTCGCTAAAGGTAAACCTACGCAAGAAATGTATTTGAATAGAGAAATACATAAACCCCCTAAATTTTGTTTTTTTTGGATATGAAAGAAAGATGTTGATGAATATTTGCTATCAGATAACCATGTCAAACTTTCCGGATACAAACGCGGAAGAGACAGAAGTTTTGCGTAATACTGTAGCAAGCCCTTCGATCTATACAAATATACAAATTTATTTCTCTCTGGACAAATATCAACCTTACCAAACACATACGGCACCTTGATCCTATTAACTGCTTTGCACTTATTTTCGCTTGACTAACTATGAATATTTATCAATGGACGATTTACATTTACATATGAACAAATATAGGTCCAATAATCAATTAAAATAACCCATTGTGTCATTGAATAAAAATAAGCAGAAATCAGAGAAGAAAATGTTGTTTTCGACGAAATTATTTACTTAAACAGTACATTCGCATATATATAGTTATATGGAAAATATATTGTCTATAGAAGGATAGAAAAGATTGCATCATCAATTGATGAGGTTATGCAATAATCAGGGGTTAAGAAAAGTATATAAAGGTCAGATAATTGTCCAGTTGACGGATATGAAGAAAAATAACAAACAGAATGGTCATAATAATAAAAACTGAATAATAATCACCAAAAATTGTTAATCGATAATAATAACTGATTACTGTTTAAAAATTGAAAAAGACAACAATTTAAAAAATTCAATAATAATCAAATAAAAGTGAAGAAAAAAAACCCGAACCATGCTAATAAAGGGAATTAGGTCCAAGAAAGAATGAGAGGTTGGATAAATCGTTTTCGCACTCAAAGTTCGGGGTTGAGTTGGTGGATTGCCAATGCCTCAGCAGTGCATAAGATTTTGATTCAACTTTTCTTCGACCCGGTTCCTTTGACTGTGTAGATACCCCCTGATTATTGCGTAACCTCATTTGGCAATAAGAGTCTGGAATCAATTTATGATGCAATCTTTTCTATCCATCTATAGATATATATTTTCCATATAACTAACAATGCGAATGTACAGCTTAAGTAAATGATTTCGTCGATAGGAAAATTTTCTTCGCTGAATTTTCTTTCACTCAGCAAATAAAAATATAGCTAATTAGGCGTCTACCACATACAAATTACACATTCGGAGAAATAGTAATAATTAAGTTGTCCAAAACTATGCAGCAAATATTTATCAAGGGAAAACTACAACTAATGTTTTCTATACATATAATGATGACACTCCAACTGAAAGATTAATAAATATTTTCGTATCCATCAATTCAATTGTTATTACAGTGCAAGTTAAATTGATAGATGTCATGAAGAATGTAATTTGTACTCAGTTTATCTTACTATTTCAAACTAAATCCGTATCAGAAAGGGTTTTTTGGATATTATAGTAATTTTAATAGTTGAGATCATGAATCAATTGAAGCTAGACAGACATGGAAGCACTGGAAGGCCATTTCGTCCTATTGTGGGACTCCTCAGAGGTGCACATCCACGATCCCGATTCGAAAGATTCCAACCCAGGACCTATCGATCTCGCACGCGAACAGTTAACCTATAGTCCACTGAGCATCCAACGATGTTAATGTCTAACTTCAACTAATCCACAAAATTGAACGACACATCCACGATTGTCTTTAGTGAGTTATCGTCACTGGTTCTCACTAGAACTCCAGGAAATACTTTTTGAAGCCAGTCACTAGTGAGCATATGTTGATTAGTATCAGAAAGGGTCCCAGTCATTATCGATATTTTATGAAGTTACGATACAGCTCATAATCGGAATATAATACTTTGCAGTAAATATTAGTTAAATTATTTAACAAAATAACTTTAAAAACTCACTTCTGATGCTAAAGAAACTGAGCTATCCAAACAAACAAATTTCTGTTTCATAATTTATTAACACCAAGAAAATTACTTTTACACTTTCAATAGTCTACTTCCTCTCATAGTCTCTGACAATTATCTAGTGTTTCCAAATTTTCCATGGTGGTCTAGCTTCAATTAACTTATGATCTCAACCATCCACAAAATCTCCTTTGAGAAATTATCAATGTGTTTAGCGAAAACCGTTTAATCCAATAAAACACTTAGCTTATTACCAAAATTAAGTCATATATTAATACTATGGTTCTATTTCTGTTAAACGTCATTTTCATATCTAAGTCAAGAACGACGCAGATATCAATTGAAAATTGAAAAACATAACATAATTAATTAACAAATATTTTTATACATAAAAATATAATGTTAAACAAATTTAAAATTGTTTACGTTGAATAATTTGCCATTACATTAGACTTCTATTGTTACATTCATAATAAGGGTAGTGTTTTATTATATTTTTACTTATTCAAAAGGTTCATGATACATTTTCTATTTATTTCCCTAACTCAAAACATCAATTAGTCAAATTAATTTATTCATTTAAACACAAAGACTCATCTGAAAAAAGAAAAACAAGATTGATTTATTGTTAATGTTATATTTTATTAAATATATGTAACAAATAGTCAAGATATCAACAAATCTAAAGCAATTATTATGACGGACATTGTGATTAGTATTAGGGAAATTCCTAAAACAAACATCGTCACTTTCGATACTATTTAACGTGTTTTGGCAAAGTAAACATAATTATTTTGTTACAGAAAAGAAAGGAAAGAAAAAAGAAAAACGATTGCGTAAATAGATGAATTATAAACTAACTCCTTGAGGCAATATTCATTTCTACTTAAACAATTTTCAAATATACATCATTTAAATGTTCATAGATAAATATAAAAAATAAACACAAATCGGTTGTTTAGTATTGAATTTAGTAACTTATTTATGCGTTATATTCTATTTATAATAAAAGAGTAAACTATCTTATTAAATAATTAGAAGAAATAAACACAAAAACGACTTACAGAAATAAACCAGATATTCATAAACGGTATCACTGTTGGCGTTAAATGCTATACTTATTGACTTGAAATGTTGGAGAGAATTTTCAATGTACAATGGTTAC